ATCAGTGCCATCAGTCAACTCTTTTGTGGAAATTTAACAAAGAGATGATGTATTTATTGGCAGAAATAATTCGGAATTCAATCAGTAGCTGAGGAAACACTCGAAATTTTACCCTTCTTTTGTTAGAACACGACTTGGGTTTTACGATACTGGCGTTTATTCACGTAGTTGCTCTCGACTTTTGTGTTTTCTATCAAGTGCAGAAGGTGGCTTTTGCAATGTCTTTGTTTCACTGTAATCCTCAACAAGTCGAGGACTCTCCAATACAGGAAATATTGAAGAAGACGCGACGTCACCACCGATTTTGATTAAACACAAAAAATTTACATTGAATAACTCACAATAAATCGTGAGAAATTTTTGCCCTACCCACTCGACTTTTTGAAAAAACTGAATATTTTATTACATTGATTGTGTTGTTATAAGTGTGCACATGAAAGAGTCGTGAGAACGCCCCAATCACTTAATATGATGTTTATCACTGCATTCCTGCTGAGCTTTCGGCAATAGAAAAACATGGACTTTCGAAAGCGCTTGTTGTGATTTACTCAGTGTGATATCCAACGTAATAACAGGGGCACAAAGCAATGACTCCTGGTACTCGCCCCGGGAGTCCCCCCTATACATATATCAGAAAATCTTTCAGGTAATTAGAAACTTTTAAGATGGACGTCTCCGTGGAGGTCCTGTAAGCTCCTTAGCTGGTCTTATCCTTTGGTGTAATCTCTTTATACCCGTAAACAAATTCGGATCGAAAGCCTGGGTTTGGACAGGCTGACCAAAGCCGGTTAAGTTAATCTTGGAGCCCTTTTCCGGAAAAAACGATGACAGGAGTGTTGAGCTTGAGACGGGATCGGTGTAATTATTGATACAGAGTCAGCAGACGGTTTTGCACAGTTGACAAACCACACGATGAGACGATAGAGCGTCGTGACGGCGGCGACGCTTGGGACGCCCGAGATGAGAAATTAGGCCAATCAACGTCGGCGTGGAGTTGACAAAGCGAAGGGAGAATAGATGATGGACAGGAACAACGTTACAATTGTTGCGATTTTCTGGAACCGGTGGTGAAATATTTTCTCATTCATTTCAAGTTACGTAAATCTTCCACTATGAGTCATTTAGTGTCGCATCAAAGGCACGTCAACATTCATTTAATGCCTAATTGACCCGCAGGCCAACAGGCCGCAGTCACTACACCTACGTGTCATTAAAGGCCGCTAAATTTTGGTCAAAATCTCATTGAAAAAAGTTAAATTACTCAAATTTTGAAAAGGGGGCATTTGGAACCCATCAATTGCCTAAGGGGGAGGGTATTTTTTGTGTATAATCGTGAAAACAGTTCAATTGAATGCGTAGTGAGTTAAAGTCCACTTAAAAGCTCTAATTGAGTGTAGGTAGTCTGAGATATGGGAATGTGTATCTGTCAGAGGTCAATATTTGTATACAATGTGACCCACACGTCGTTTCCGTGGGATTCGTCGTGCCCTAACTCGCTTTATTACTTCTTAAGTAGTTAATTGGCGGTGTAATTTTAGAAGCGCGGCTCATTCTTTAACCTAAATTTGAGGAAACTTTTTCGAAAATGTCACAGCCGGCCACAAAAGCGCATCGATATTATTACAAATTGTTTGGGTATTGTGTCACAACAATAGTCAAGGTGGTGGTTCAGTTATTTTATGGGAGTTGGTGGTGTGTTGGAGAGAGTGAAAAATAAATTGGGCGAGTCGAGGAGGGTTAACTACCCTGGCAATAGCACCAGTGCTCGAACACAGCTGCCAAATCTTGCTATTTATTAAACATACGTGTTAATCTCGGGCAATACCACATAAACCATTTCAATGTGGGCTTTATGGTGGGGGTTTTAAGGATAACATGATGAGTGATTTGTAACCCATGGTTACAATATCTCTATTATTGTGTTTGAGACCGCTTTTGTGATTTCATTGAGCGGTCACATTTGGATTAGAAATGATTTATTTGCTTGGATGGTGATTAGGTCTATTGTAGTTCTGGCAATTTTTTACTCGTTAGGAGACGCGCGGGCAAGCTTTTGCCAATTAGACACACTTTTGGTAAAATCATAAGACAAAACAAGTCAAAAACAATAAAAAGCACTAAGGTGAATCAAATTATAACAAAAACGTATCATATTAAGGAGTAATTAAAAAAAATATTGTTTCTAGGTCCACTATTTGAAAAATATGTTGTATATAATATATACAATTATATTTTAAATATGAGGTATATTTCTTTCTAAAAAAAAGATTATAAAAGATTGTAAATTTGTCTAATTTGAAATTGGAGTTGGAGCTTTTCACATGAGGATATTCATATCCGATATCAAAGCCTTTTTAGACACCCTTCAATAAAAAAAACTTACTACTAAACAAAAGAAATTTATGAATTTAATTTATATAAATGCTATAATTAAAATAACAAAATAAAAAAGACATAGTCATGAAAATAAAATTACTCGTACGTACACACTTCATATTCGCTACACGAAAAAAATCTTCATAACAGAATTAACAAAATTGTAACTTAGTAATGATTATCTCTGATGTTTACTTCAATGGATAAAAATCTAGTGGATTTAGAACAGGTGAACATGTTGTCACCAATAGAAAAAGTGGTAATTTTGAATATGAAACGATATGAACATATTTTTAGTGAAAATGAGAATCTTTTCTTTGTGCAGTATTAAAACTTTAAATTTTGAAATAGTAATTTACCTAACGTGTTAGGAAAATACAATTTCCCACATGAGCAATTTGTTTGTAGCACGACCGCAGGAAGGTATGTACAATATTTAGGTACAATATTTTTTGTAACGAATAACTTAAAAAAAAATAATTTATCATAATTTAGTTTTTTTTTGCTGATGGGTTGTTGACAGATTAAACTGTCAATTATACTGTCACAGTCATCCTTTGACTGTCACGAACGAAGCAGTTTTTCATCTGCCACCTAAAAAAAGTTGTGAATCGGATTCAATGGTTTCGTTTATCTCAACTGTAGCAATACCAACCAAATAAATGTTTCGCAAAGTAAAAAGGATTTCAGTGCAGAAAATGCTTGTGACAGAATTTTAAAATTTCAAACAATATGCCTGATTTGGTTTCACTTGAAAAAATTCCCCTGTGGGAAAATGCTGTTTGGTTGAGCAAAAATTTAATTTTGTGTAAATTGGAATTGTAGCAAAAAATCCTGAAAGCGGTTTAATAAATTCGATGTAGATGTTCATTTCTTAAGTGTTCAGGTGTCGTGGGCAGCTGTTTTGATTGAACCCGTGTAAAAAGTAATTAAGACGTGTAGTCGCCATTAGGGTTGGAGTTACGGCTCTAAATAGCGTCGCCGCTTATATTTATCCATACAAACTACTAATTAGTTTACCTGTCCCGGTGCGAGTCGGCTCCAAACAGGTACCATTTGGGCATATAAATATTTTTAATAAATTAATACACCGTGAATTTAAATATTTAACGCGGCATATGTATATTAAACAAGCAACAAATTACCAACGTTAACGTCTCTCGACGTTAATAAAGGTTCGAATTTACTGCCGACACGTTAATATAGTTATCTTTTTTATTGTTTTGATAGAACGCGGCTCGGATTTTTTTTTAATCAAAACATCCCGACAAAAATGCCGAAAACATAAATAAGCATTTGGAAGGGGGCCTCGACCAGGAGTGATCGTGCAATTAACTCACGAGATGGGTAATGATTCGTATGAAACGTCGGCAGTTATTAAGACGGAATCTTTTCAAACTCCGAGTGCCAACAAAAAAGAGTATTATAAGATCAAAGACGCCGATGTTGTGCATGAATGAAACGTAAACAAACATGATAACGGCCGAGTATACAATTTAAATATTTCGTGATTCATGATTGAGCTAAACGGATCTCTAAAATACACCAAACCAGTGATTTATCACCAAGAATCTTCCATTATCACCCATAATGCGTTTGTTGTATCTCTCGCACAATAACGGCACTAAAAACATTATTTCGAATTTTACAGACGGTCGAAACGGTAACTACTGCCAAATCATTGTCCAAGAAATCGCTTCTTGTTTATGACCGTTTTGTGGAGGCGCTGTTGGACGCCGGTAGCCTCTCAATGTCTCTGTTGGTTTCATGTTATACCGGAAAGCAATTTAACTTGAATTATTTACAACCGGGCAATGCTTCTACGAATTCTTAACTATTTGCCCAATTAGGCACACCTTTTCTTTCAGCGAGTAAAGTGCGTAAATCGTAAATAATTGCTCAAAAGACGAAAAGAAATCGATTATGTGGGAGCATTGAACAGAAGACAACCATTAGTAGCATTGATAAATTTATTTTAAAATTAGATAAGCATGAAACTGGGACTATTGGGGAAAGTTGTGTGCTAAAATTTTAAATTTTTATCTCATTCAAATTGAATGGAGAAGTCTTGAACCCAACACCCAGTCATTACTTTTACAAAAACCACCAACTTCACTCATTCATTGATTATCAAAAACTTTTATCTTTCAATTATTTCTAAGTCTTCATAGAATAATCTGGTAATTGGGGTTTTAAGTTGTTAAAAATGTAACAAGCCGTTTACAAAATATACACATTACGATGGAACTTGTATACGCATTAGTTGTCACCACTTCTGATGCACTTTTCTTTGAGAGAGTAAAGTGTGATAATCGTAAGAAATCAATTATGTGAGAGAAAAGAAGAAGCCATCAGTAGTTATGATTATTAAATTAAATAATTTTTCTTTTAAATGATTATTATTTTAAATAATTTATTTTAAAATTAGATAAGGCATGAAGCAGCTGCAACTGTTTGAAAAAGTTATGTGCTAATTTTAGATTTTTTTCTCATAGAAAATGTATGAAAATACTTGAAACCAACACCCAGTCATTACTTTTCTCATAAAATAATTACAAGAAGTACCAACTTTGACCACTCATTGATTATTATCAACGACTTCAGTTTGGTTTCATCCACCAGTCATGGAGTATTTACATAATTGTCAGACTTATGTTGGGGGTACTGGTCTGGCAATTAATAGTCCCCTTTACAGAAAAAAATCTATCCAAATACATTTTTTTCCGCTCACTTTGCTCTTGATTGCTTTGTCAAGTTACAAATTACGGGACACCAATAACGACATTTTTCTCATTATGGAAATTCTGGAATCTATATCAACTTTTACTCTAGTAAGTTTTTTTTCAAATTTCTAAATTTTTACATTCGAAATTTTGCAGCTAATGATACGAAAATATGTGGTTTTCACCCATAGCAGCTTAATGTTGGACATTTTCAATGATTGTTATAACCTTTGGTCTTTTGATCTGTTTGGACTAGAACTTGAACAAAAATTTAAAAAACAAATGAAAAACTGTTGGACTCTGGCTCAAACTCTTATTACTTGTGGTTTCATAACTATCATGTTTATGTGTGTAAGTGCCCTTATCGAGGAGGAAAAGTTAGTACCGTTCATTTGCTGGTTACCAGATTTTCTTTACGCCAGAGAACTGATTTTTTTATCTCAATTTATAATTTTAATGGTTGTTTTCTACTACATTTTACTCACAGACGGATTCTATCTTTTGGTTTGTATGGATATAAAAATTCAGTATAAAATGATGAGAAAAATGTTAAAGTCCATTAAATTTGGAATAATTTTAGAAAAGGAAAGTTTAGAGAAGTTGGTGGAGTTGGCAAAACATCACAATAAGATGTTAAAGTTACTAGTTCAGTCAAATTAAAAAAAAATATATTAAAACCTCATTTTAGGCTTCACAAAAAATTGAATAATGTGTTTTCGAAATATTTTTTAGTGCAATATGCTATGTCGGTTTCTGCAATAACGGTTCAAGCATACACCTTAAAGTACAGGTATAAGAACAATCCTGCCACAAAAATTTCTATTTTTTTTTAGTGAAGTCACTATTGAAACAGTACTAAAAAGCATTTTCTACACAGTTTCAATCCTGCTTCAAGTCGCTCTTTATTTTTTTCCCGCCAGTAATGTGGAAATAGAAGCAAGTATAATAATTATGTTTCAAAATTCTTTTTTTAAAAGTTTAAAGTCAAAAACGCAATTTAGAAAGTTATTTATTTTATTTTTTCTAAACTGGCAAGACTACGGAAACGTAAAAATTAGACATCACATTCTTTTCATGCTCTTAAAATCACAACAAAAATTGGAAATGAAAGGCGGAGGCATGTTGCATATAAATCGAAACGAATATCTTATGGTGAGTAACAAATTAGTGAGAAGGATTTAAAAAAACTTTTTTTTAGATGTTTCGTCTCGCATTAACAATTGCTACTCTTTTGGGCAATTTGAGCTAATTTGAAATTCGAGTTATACACTTAGAACACAGAATATACACAGAATAAAATTCACCGAACATTGCTCTTTGTTCTTGTAGTTACTCCTAAATCTAATTTCGGATAATTTTGTATAGTTATAATTTAGAGTTACACACTTAACTACTAGACAAAATATCAAATATTATCAAACATTGCTCTTTATATTTGTAGTTAGTAGTTATTCTTAAAACTAATTTTGAATAATTTTTGTATAGTTATAACTTAGATTATTGTTAAAAATAGAATCATGAATCGTACTTCTGTTAATTTTAGTTATATTTTTTGTTGTTTAAAATGAATGGAAAAGTTTTGAAACCAACACCCAGTCATTATTTTTATAAAAATCATCCTTTGCCCACTCATTCATTTATCAAAAACTTTTATCTTTCAATTACTCCTAAGTCTGACTTGGAATAATCTTCTTCTTGAGGTTTTGTTTGAAATACCTATTTAAAATTGTAGGTAGGTAAGTGATTATCAATGTAATAATCCATTTTCAGAATATTTATAGATTTTGGAGGAATACTACATTTCGTGGAAATTTTATTTATTTTATTTTTCTTTGTTACATACTCCTATTAGTTATCGGTAGAGCATCTGTTACAATTCATCTTTGACTTCAAAAAACGTTTTTTTTTACTATGGGACTTGTAAATTCGCACTGGTGGTGGTGTTCCCGATTTTTAAAAGTATGATATACTTACATCAGCTGATGCACTTTTTTTTAAAGGAGTAAAGTGTGTTAATCGTAAAAAAATTGCTCTAAAGACGAAAAAAATCGATTATGTGGGAGAAAAGGAGACAGTCATCAGTAGCTATATGATTATTAAAAAAATAATTATTTTTTTAAATAATTATAAGGTATCTTAAATAATTTATTTTAAAATTAGATGAGCCATGAACCAGTTGCAACTGTTGGAAAAAGTTGGCTAATTCTAATTTTTTCTTCATACAAAATGAATGAAAAGACTTGAAACCTACACCCAGTCATTACTTTTCTCATAAAATAATTGCAAGAAATACCAACTTTGACCACTCATTGATCATTATCAAAGACTTCAGTTTGGTTTCATCTACCAGTCATGGAGTATCTAAATAATTGTCAGTCTTATGTTGGGGGTACTGGACTTGCAGCTAACAGTCCCCTTTACAGAAAATTTTTATCAAAATACATTTTTGCTCCGCTCGGGTTGCTCCTGCTTGCTTTCTCAGCTTACAAATTTTGGGATACAAATAACGATATTTTTCTCATTATGGAAGTCTTGGAATCTATATCAACTTTAACTCAAGTAAGTTTTTTCATATTTTCCAAATTTTTAGTTTCGAAATTTTGTAGCTAATGATACGAAAATATCTGATTTTCGTTCATAGCAACCTAATATTGGAAATTTTCAATGATTGTTATAACCTTTGGCCCTTTGACCTGTTTGGACCAGAGCTTGAAAAAAAATTCAAAAAACAAATGAAAAACTGTTGGACTCTGGCTCAATTTCTTATTACTTGTGGTTTCGTAACCATCTTTATTACTTGTGTAAGTGCCCTCACCGATGAGGAAAAGTCACTACCGTTCATTTGCTGGGTACCGAATCTTCCTTACGCTACCGAACTGATTTTTTTGTCACAATATATCCTTTTAACGATTGTTTTATACTACATTTTACTCACAGACGGATTCTATCTTTTGGTTTGTATGGATATAAAAATTCAGTATAAAATGATGAGAAAAATGTTAAAGTCGATCAAATTTAGAATAATTTCAGAAAAGGAAAGTTGGGAGAAGTTGGTGGAGTTGGCAAAACATCACAATAAGATGTTAATGTTACTAGTTCAGTTAAAATTAAAAAAATATATATTAACAACTCATTTTAGGCTTCATAAAAAATTGAATAAAGTGTTTTCGAAATATTTTTTAGTGCAATATGCTATGTCGGTTTCTGCAATAACGGTTCAAGCATACACCTTAAAGTACAGGTAAGAACAATCCTGCCCAAAAAAAGATTCTAATTTTTTTTTAGTCAAGTCACTATCGAAATAGAAATAAAAAGCATTTTCTACACAGTTTCAATCTTGTTTCAAGTCGCTCTTTATTTTTTTCCTGCCAGTAATGTGGAAATTGAAGCAAGTATAATAATTATGTTTCAAAATTCTTTCTTTGAAAGTCAAAAACGCAATACCTTTTGAATAGAAGGTTATATTTTTTATTTTTGTCTAGGCTGAAAAACTGTCAACAGCAATTTATTTTCTAAACTGGCAAGACTACGGAAACGTAAAAATTAGACATCACATTCTTTTCATGCTTTTAAAATCACAACAAAAATTGGAAATGAGAGGCGGAGGCATGTTGCATATAAATCGAAACGAATATCTTATGGTGAGTAACAAATTTATGAGAAAAATAAAAAAAACTTTTTTTCAGATGTTTCGTCTCGCATTAACAATTGCTACTCTTTTGGGCAATTTGAACTAATTGGAAATTCGAGTTACACTTATTGGACAAAATTAAATTTGCCGAACATTACTCTTTGTTCTTGTGTTCCTAAATCTAATTTTGGATAATTTTTATAGTTAAAACTTAGATTATTGTTGAAAATAGATTTGTGGATCGTACTTCTGTTAATTTTAGTTTTATTTTTTTTGTTATTCTAAATGAACGGAAATGTCTTGGAAGCAGAAACTATAATGAACCATTAGTCTTTAGTTTGCCCATAAATATAATAAATTATATACAGCATCAACTTTAACCACTCATATTTGGGGTAGTAGTTTAGCCTCTACATATACCTAATATCCACCCTTTCAGGAACATTTTATCAAAATGCTATTTTCTTCTACTTTTTTTCCTAAATGTTAAATTTCGCTTTACAAATTACAGGATACAAATATCTAGGTATAGAAAATTTTTTGGAGAAGTTATACTATTATAAAATAGAGCCATATTATTAAAGAGCATGCTTTACACAATTTCACTTTAGCTTTTTGTTTTTTATTAAAATAATTAATACTCTTTTAGGCAATTTGAAGTAATTATAAATTGAGTTGTTTCACTTACTACAAAAAATAAAACTCACCGAACATTTCTCTTGGTTCTTTTAATTATTCCTAAACCTAACTTTGTATTTAGACGTATAATTATAACTTAAAGTTTTCTTATAAAAATGAAATTCTGAATAAGTGATTAAAAATGTAACAAGGCGCGTTCAAAATATTTTTATTTGAGGGGAAAACACAAAAATCACTTTTCGTCGAAAATTTATTTATTTTCTTTCCGACCGCTTCATTTTGTTTATTATTGGTAGCGCTTTCGTTACAAAGTTTCGTGGAAACTCATTTTTGACTACGAAATAAAAAGCGATCTTTGTAATCCCTTAATTAGACAGGAAAATTACGATCGAACTTGCACACACTGGTTTTGACCCTGTTTCAAGTGTGCATCCGATGCAAGCCTTCATAACAAATTTCTGATCGACTCCAGATGTTTCCTTCCAAAGAAAAAACCGACCCAATTTTCAGCAAAACTTTCAGAATTTTAAAGTACACGCACTAATTGTCTTATCAATTAATCATCACATTTCTGATTAGCTTTAAAAGGTTGAAATTCATTTGGTTCATACACAATGTCGACGAAAAATTATTTAAGTTTTCCGACCGGTTTCTTAGTTGGGACCGGTCTACTACCCGAGAGCAAGTTATCAAGAAAAATTATTTCTATTGGTGTTTTCACACCAATTACGCTTTTTCTTATTTATCTGATTGTGAGAAAAGCCAGAGATGGAGAAAATAAAGATGTGCTACTTTGGGCTGAATTATTCGAATCTCTGACTACTTGTGCACACGTATTACCCAATTACAGTTTTGTTTACGAAAGGCGAAATGTTTTTTCCAGATTTTGTCTAGAAAGTACGTTATGTTTGTTCATGGAGGTTTAATATCTGAAATAATCAAAGAACGCGGTTTGTACTTCTGGGATTACAACGTTTTTGGCACCAAATTAGGACAAACTCTCGAACAAAAAATGAAAATTTGCACCAAAATTGTCAAAGTCGTTGTTTTGGGAGGAGTGTTAACTATCGTCCTATTTTGTCTTACCACAGTTTCTGACAAGTCAAAAGTGGTACCTTTGGTATGTTGGACGCCTGAAGATAGCTACCAAATCAGCATAATTTACGCAATGGAAGTACTAATTATGTTTGAAATAATGTGGGCTCTTCTCTCTCTTGATTGTTTTTACCTTCTTATTTGTACTGACCTCAGAATCCAGTTTATCCTCCTTCAAAGAATGATCAGATCGCTTCAATTCGGATTAAACCACGATGCGAAAAGCTTCACTAAAATGGTACACTGCACCCAACACCACAAATTTCTCCTACAGTCAGTACTTTCTTCCTTCAATAGTAAAATAATCCTGAAAAAATTTTCAGCTTTCACGCCAAGCTTAACACAATTTTTTCATCATATTTTATTGTTTTGTATTTGGTAACTGTGGCTTGTGCCTCAATGCACACTTACATAATTCTTTTCAAGCAAGTTGTAAAAACATAATATGATTTTTTGGTTGAACATTCTTTTCAGGTCTCCGAGTTTTGGCGATTCGATCAAAAGTGCATGTTATTTAAGTGGAATGTTGTTTCAAGTCGGTTTATATTTTATTATCACCAGTAATGTTGAAATTGAGGTTAGTGTGGTGAAGAATTGTTTTTATTGGTTGAAAGGCCGAAAATCTTTCAGTTGCAATTTATAACATGAACTGGGAAAATACTCGGAGTATGAAAATTCGGAAACATATTCTTTTCATGTTGATGAAGTCGCAGAAGGAGTTAAGTGTGACGGGGGGAGGGATGTTGCATGTTAACAGGAATGAATACGTTGGAGTAATTTTTGTTGGTATAGATTGCAATTCTTGTTTTCTTCACATTGTTTTAGTTGGTACGTCTGGCTTATACGATTGCAACAATTCTTGGAGGAATGACCTAAATCATATAATTTTTTCTTTGAAAAATAAATTACTTAGTTGAGCAAAATGAATTTTTTAGTTTTTCTTGAGTTGGAGTGCATCGTTTCGTATAATTTTATCTGAGCGGAAACGTGTACCATTTGCTTATCTATTTACGTTTTCAAAGGAATTAAAATATTTATTGATAGTAGGAAACATCTTTGATGGTTTCTTGTTCTACACTAAGTGTTTATAGTGTGCCAAAATAATCCCGCTTTACGCTTCAAACGTTCACTTGTTTATTTACCGAAGATAAAAGACTTAATCGGTGCTTTTAAGTAATCAAACATGCCATCCTTCATTTTTATATCGAAAAATGTCTTAAGTTCTTCGACTCCGAAGATAAAGGAATTGACAGCAACGTCGGCGGCTGATTCTATCTTCAAACGAACGTTCATCGATAATTCTCCTAATTCATATAAATATTTTCGCTTTTCGGCGATATTAATTAAAAGAGTTTTAAGGGATTAACACCTGCTTCAAAAATATTATTAATCTGAAACTTTTGCATATAATTTAGACTAAGTTATTGCAATCATGTAAATGTGCGATCATTTAAATTTAAATTAGGAGTTTGGTCGCTCGACTCGTTTCATCTTTCGGATGTTGGATTCTTTAGAATTGTCACATGCCACAAGCTCAACCTGTCTAGGTGTTTTTTGAAAGTTGTCGGACCTCTCTTGGGCTTTTATTTAATACAAATTAAAAAATACTATATCTACCTGGGTCGTAGAGATTTTTGACCATCACTTTTGGCGTTATTTCTACCTTTTGATTATTATTGTTGTAATACCTAAAGCAAATAAACTTGCACATCAATTTTTTGTTTAAGTTAATTGTTTTTTTTTAGCAAAGAATAATAATAATTATTTTCCACACATTGTGTATATTATAATTTTTTTTCACAAAAAAATTCCTTTAGGTAGGGGAGACCGGGGCAGATTGTCACAAGGGTTGCTTGTTACACGTCTCAGAACTCTGTCGCGGCTGCCACCTAGGGACCCACCAACTATACATCTCATTATAGGGTGTTTTATACAGTAATTCAATTTGCTTAGATTAATATTTTAATTTTGTTAAATAATTTTTTAACATCTAACTGACATACAAACTGTCAGCGACATACGTCTTCAACTAGTAAGTAACATAACTAGTAACATAGTACTTACTCCTACGTGATAGCAAGACTTTTTGATTACACTGTACTTACATCAATGTTAGTGTGTAAACGTAATTTCAAATGCTTTGAAACTATTCTCTGAATAATATGATTGGTGTTTTTGTATTTTTGCAGCTGAAAATCTTTATTGAACGATGTACTAACTAAGTTTGATTATACCTAGAGGATGCATTGTAAAAAACAGCCTAGGCCATAACGTCATTATTTTTAAAAACATGACGATACTACTTTAATCAAAAGTTGAACACAACTTTGTTTAAAAAACTAATGTATTTTAAAAAATTAGCTTTGGGCCAACCTGTATTCTCCATTATCTCTAATTAATAAAATCAATCTCTCAACTATTTTCTGTTATTCTACAACGTTGTATGCTGTATGATCAAAATTTTGGTTCTATAGTGTTTTTGTCAAATCATGATTTATCTGAAATATTTGTTAGGGATTGATAGTCACAAAAATCTCCGAGATGGTTAATTATAAAAACCTTAGTTTTTTTAGTTTTAGTTTCTTTAAATTATTACGAGTAGCTTACTTTTAACATTTTTTTTATTCTCAACATTAAATTTTAGTTTTATTGTTCTTATTAAATTTTTTTGGCTAATTTTTTTGTTTTTTTATTTAAATAACTAGTGGCAACTAACCCCGAAAGTCTTTGACAACCAATATAGTGTCGGGGCAAAAATTTGCTCATCAGACAAAAATTTATATTTATACAAATAACTGTTCGTTGTTATAGGTACACGGTGAATAAAAAGTATAGAACCAAGCGTTTTTTTCGTAAACTAACTACTTTACGAAAAAATAATTAGTGTAGCGTAAGGTACAATTAAAATGTAACCGTTTATCAAAAATAACATTTTTCAAAATTCCTTTTAATTTTCGGGTTTTGCAAAAAAAATAATGACAACCAACTGTTACACATTTTTTTAATTAGATACTATTGAATTTGAAACACATTGTCATTCAACATTAGAGTTGAATGTGAACGTAAAAAAAAAGTTGTTTTAGCTAAAAGATTGAACATCCAGGAAGTACTATACAGGTGTTCCGTTTTTATTGTTACAAATTTAAATAGATGGTAGAATATTCGATTTTAAAACAGAAGTTTGTTATAAACATGTTTCAAAAAAAAGGGGTGCGTTTTTTAAAGGGTTTTTTTCCAGAATAGACAAAATTACAAAATGGGTAGTAATTTTTTGTCTTTACGGTGCATTTATTATTTTTACTGTGCATTTATTATTTTACTGTGCATTTATTATTTTTACTGATTAAAAATACTTGACGTTTAAATAATATACTGTGCATTTAATTTGTTCCCTTATAAAATTTGGTACACAGCTAATAACCTTTATATACACTTAAACGAATTCCAAGATGACTCGACGACTTTACTGATCTTAATTTTTCTTTGGTAAAATATCCAAATTTTTAATCAGAGATGTCCTAAAGGTAAAACCAAATTAATTTTTAATTTTTATGATGGTTATGGTCTGTAACATAAATTTTAATGATATAATGATGTAATGATTTTACTCAAAATCGGTAAGTTGTATCGGAAAAACACAAAAGACCTTTTTTTATAAAGAAAATATAAAATTTAAAATTTTGCGAATTTTGTTGCTGAAAGTGGCTGGATACTACAGCCAAAATATTACCTACTTTTACAAAAGAGTAGATACTTCTTACGCTAAAATTTTAACATTTTATCTTTGAATTCGTGTACCTATAAAGTTTATCATCTGTACCAAATTTTGTAATTTTATCTACAATGGTTTCGGAAATATTGGAAAAATTCATTAAAAGATGCATCCCTTTGAGGGGGTGTAGCTCCCTTGCGATACATGTTCATATAGAAAAACTTTTGTCTTAAAATTGAATATTCTCCTATTTAAATTTGTAACAATAAAAACGAAACACTTTGATACTAGAGATTATAGCAATAGGTAATTACTGTTGCAATTTTCTACCTATAGTTATAATCAAAAATTAAGAAAAATCAATTCTGGATATCAAGACAATACCTAATCAGATATCCAAGAATTTCGAAAGATGACAAGAGTCTAGATTTTTTGACTTAATGTAAAACATTAATAAAATATGTGAGTACATACATACAACTGAACCCTAATTGGTTCTATTCTCAATAAAATTGTAGGAATCTGTTAATGTAAATTGACCCCGAATTTTATTTAGGTATATTCAACACACAAGTAAATACATATATTTAGATTTTAACAAAATAGCTCCAAAGTCATTTTTTGTAGTTCCAAGTCTTTTCTGTCTCTCCCACCGTCTCCCTTACTGTTTGTCTAAAAACAGTAAAATTATTTTGGTAAACATCTGCTCGAATAACCACACCCAGACCTATTGGCAATACACACCGTAGGCCGGCCAACAGGTCTCTCTCATCTTCCCACCATTGGTCAGGAAACGGCACAAAACACCGAAGAGGCGTAGCCCCAACTTTATATAAGCCCACCCTGAATAAATGAACAACACAGTTGCCAAGGATTATGGCAGTGTCGACACATCTGCACATTACAATCCTTGTTGAACACTCAACAACAATGTAAATATAAATATGGTGGTGTTTAATAAACCCGACTCAAAACTTGTTATGGCACAAAAACAAAAATCTTTCACAATTAACTCTATTTTGGCCGGAAGTGAAGTGAAAGAAGAGGATAGTGAAAGTGATAGCGATTTGGATGTGACGGGGGATGACACGCCACCTCTGGATTGCTCGCAAAAGCCGGCAGGGAGCAAAGAAGCGGAAGAAAGTGAAGGTTAGTTGAAAATTTTTAGTGATTGTTTCTAATTTATTCACGAGTTTGGATACAGTTTTATAACTATGAGCCGAAAATATTAGGGTGAGAAGGCTTTTAAAAAGAGAATATTTATTTATTATTCAATATTTAATTTTCATTTTGTTTTCGACGTTTATTTTAAGATTCGTGGTTTAACTTCAGTATCTGAAACATACCTAAATTAGATAAAGATGAAAGCATAGTAAAAATAAATTTTATTGTATTTTGGTCCTATAAACTTGTTTCTAATCACCTATAAGCGGGTATCATTTGGCTTTTATAGGCACTTGTAATCAATCATAACATACAGAATCATATGAAATTCATAACGACAAAATAGGCGTTCTCGATTTTTACACCAAGTTCGCTGAAAATATTAAATTATAATTTCCTAACGTCGGACTTTAAACATTCCTTTGGGCCATAACTTTTTTAATTAAATAACTATTATTATCAGCTTTTACGATAAAAAAATGTTTACCCTATGGATATTGCTCGTATCAAATAAAATAAATTTAAAGAAAAATTGTCTTTCTTATAATTTGAATAGTAATTATATTTATTATTGCTTTGATAATAATTTTATTAAGTCAGAGAAACGCATGTCCAGTGCTGGAAAAAAATACAGAAATAATGTATTGGAATAAGTATTATTGTTATGATTTTACTATTAAATCAAATATACATATTAAGTGTGTGAATAAAAATTTGAATTTTTCACTTCTACATCTATATTTTATGAAGATATGTAACTATTCACGGGCAGATGTTTTTAAAATTCCGTGAATATAAATCAATTTTTTACATATTTCTTGTCAAAGAAGAATTTCAAACGCTAATCAAGCATATAACTCAGCCATTCCCATTAAAATTCTCTTAGTTCCGTGCCTCCAATAAATTTAATTAAAACCCGTCAACAAGTAGTTTCCAGCTCCCACATGTGTGGGTGTAATGATTAATAACTCTTCTACCTGTAGTTATTTTTGATTTTAGAAAAAAACAGCAAACCCAACGAAAAACCACCATACAGCTACAATGCCCTTATCATGATGGCTATCCGAAATAGCCCGGAAAAACGCCTCACTTTGAACGGAATCTACGAATACATAATCCGGAATTTCCCTTACTATAAAGAGAATAAACAAGGATGGCAGAACTCGATTAGACACAATCTCAGTCTTAATAAATGCTTCGTGAAGGTTCCTCGTCATTATGATGATCCAGGGAAAGGGAATTACTGGATGCTTGATCCTTCAGCTGAGGATGTGTTTATAGGGAGCAGCACTGGTAAGCTTCGGCGGCGATCAACAGCCGCCTCCAGGACACGATTGGCGGCGTTTAAACGGACAATAGCCTTGGGGGGATTTTACCCACCTTTTACCCCATTCGGACACTTGTACCCGATGCTTTATCAACGATGTCCTTATCCAGGACCAAGTTTTCTACGACCTGGGATGTTTGAAATGTATGGAAATTTGCGACTTGCCCCCCAGTGTCCCATCCAGATACCTCTCCCAGTGGTACCGAGGGAGGATGAAGGACTTCTCAAACCTGTCACTGTGATAACTAAAAATAATTAATTGTACAAACTGTAAATAAAGTTGTTAATGTCGAATAGTTGTCTTATTAATTATTGAAAAAGTTCGACATAGGAAGGGCGACTCCGATTAATCGATTTCGGCCTTGATATCAGAAAAAACCACTCAATTAGAAATTTAAATCCCATTTTGTTGTATGAAAATATGTCACTAATTAAAAGGTTTAGAAGCGATTAGCGTGATTAATAATTTATTAAGAGATAAAAAACTTGTAAGTGGTATGTTTGTGTTGAGGATATTGTTAGATTCATTAATCTCAATCCGGTTATTATTTTGTTCGACTTTCTAATTTCGTACGTCAATACCATTCGGTTGTGCTACTTGTGCTACATATTTTATTGAGCAATTTGGGGACAGCAAAAAAATTGTTTTAAAAATTTGCATTTTTTGATCGGTGCTTTCAGACAAGGTAAAGATAATCGAAGAAACAATTTCGTATAGCTCGCTATCTGATGACATTTGTCTCGGAATCCGGGCCCCGTTTGATGGATAGCCCCTCCAACTGTCAGCGGCATTTAATGGCTGATAATGACGGCCGGTACATACATAAAAATGCGCAGAGATCGATGAGCTCTCGCTCTTGATTTGAAGTTATCTCATCCATCTTCGGCACCACATTCCCGATCCTATCACAAAACACGCCACTCTACAAAACTGTATCACAACAAACAAAAATTTTGTGATGTCGTATAATTTGCGCCCGTCAATATTTAATAATAGTGGAGGAGAAAAAATCGAGCCGCGTTTGACTCGCTGATAGGTGAAAAGGGTCACAGAGGATTAAAATGAAAAATCATTAATAAAAAGTTTAACATGTAAGAAATGTACATCTGGCGGCTTCTTTGACTGTCACTCAATTGTTAAAAGATCCATATAAATAGTTACCTGGTCGACTGGAAAAGATGTGTGTTGGAGTAGTGGTGTCTCGCTCAAACACGCTACAGAATTCGGAGAAACAAAGACGAAATGAGACGATTTTTAAAACGATTTACATCTACAGATCTCCGATCGAATGATCATTTGACAGCGAGATAAGACGATATGGAAGATACTTTGTACACTTTGGATATTCTCGAGTTGACAAACAATCAAGACGAGCGTTAGTAGTCTTAACGGCAATTAGAGATTATTAGCATGTGACAAGTGAGCTAGTCTGACGAGAAGAGAATTTTATTTTTCATAACCAGTCCATAAACGCATACAAAGTGACTCAACAAAACGTCAAGATGCAATTATTACAAAAAAATATTCCTTTCCTTTTAATGTACGCACCACCGATCCTCGTTTAAAAAAAATATTGATCACAGACTACACTCTAAGTTAAATGATTCGGAGAAATACAAACTTACTCGTAAAAGCCACAAAGCTAAAAGCTTTAGGCAACAAATTACTTGCACAGTATATTATTTAAACGACAAGTACCTATTTTTGATCAGTAAAAATAATAAATGCACAGTAAAAGAAATGAATGAATGTCTAGCAAAATTAATTAAATTATTATTCCACATTTACAAACAAAATGTTTTCGAGCAAAACTGGAATGTCGCAAACCGTTCAAAAATAAAATAATACGCTGATTAGACTGATTACCACTTGTGCACAGTTTTCAACCCTTGCAAAAATTATTCTTGCTCACCGGCCTTTGCTAATAAATATACTCCCTAAAATAATAATAAATAACATTCTTGAGCAAAGGCGATACATTGTTATGTAACCAAGACTGAAAATTTCTTAAATTTTGTTATTTTACTAATTTTGATTAAAGTTTCTGAGCATTTATTATTTTTACTGTGCAAATTAGATTTTTTACTGAACATACTGAACAAATTACACTAAAATACTGTGCCTGCTTTACTTAGCATTTATTATTTTTACTGTGCAAAATATTATATTATACTGATCATTTTTAATTTTTTTACTGTGCAAAAATTAAACACCGATCATTTATCATTTTATACTGACAATTTTTTTCATACACTAAAAATCTCATAAGCCGTGGTGTTTTTGTCACTATGACAGCTACAAAAGTTTACCTAACCACCGCCTCCTTAATCAAATCCCGCCCCGGTATTTCGTAAAAAAATGCATTGGAGCAGTGATTCCGATTTTTTCTTAGTTACGGGGGTTACTAAGGAAAAACTGAATGATTTTAAATTATTAACGAAAAATAAGGCAATTAATTAAAGCGGGGAAGGAAGGATACAACAAAACAAGATACGCCAGGGAGAATTGATATTATGAGGTTGAACCCTTTCAGATAAAAGACTGGATTTGTTAAAAATTTTCCCCATATTAAGCGCCAACGGGAATCAGTTGAACTCAAAAAATGTCCAGGCGAGAAAAGGATTATTTCTATGGAGACGGCGATGGCCCTAACTATTACAGCCACAAAACGGAACCTAACTTTTGAAAGCGTCTGAATCTAGTAGGTCTGCATCATCGGATTTACGTATTCATTAAATTGTCTTACCGAATTACATTCAAGCTGTTTTTTTTTTACGAAAAAAACTTGATATTTTTAATTGAGTTCAAAAAACTGCTCGTCCTACGGAAATTTTTTCAGGAGCAGTTTTTTTCGTTAAATTGCCAGAAAACAAAATACTCATTAAAATGTCAAGTTTACTTCGAAAAAAAAGCTCTCGTGATCAAAACTGAATTATTTACTCATGGCCAGAACTCGCGCCCCAGAGAAAATTTTCAAGTAAGATAATATACCAGGAACATGAAAAAAATTCTATTCGAGATTAATTTAACGTTTAACAGTGCAAAGTAACTGATAATTGAATTCGAATTAACATTTGACTTGCTTTTTGTCAATCAGCATTTAAAGTACAATACCAATAAATTACTTTACTTTTTAATTTAATAAAAATCTTGCAGAATTTTTGATTTTAGTTGAGTTTTTTTCCAGTAAGCGAATGTGTAATTTTTAAGGAGGCAAAGTGGCGGCTTCTTTAAAATTTACAAAGAAATAAATCTTCTTGTAAGTATATTTCAAATGTAAATTTGTAATCATTTGCATTTAATTTTTTGTTCATCTACTCGTTTAGATGAGTTAAGATTAGACTTACACCGAGTAATTACATGTTGTACAAGTATTAATGTAGCTGTTATTTAGAGATAACATTAATTGCCATAAGCTAATATTAATTAATAAACATGTTCAGCGTCGGGTAAATTAAACTTGTGCGGATTTATGGAATGTTGTCAAGTCATCGTACTGTTCCTTTTTCTTTGGGTAAAAAATTTCCTCTTTTAATCTTCTTACGGATAAGAATTTTGGGTCTTCATCAAAGGTGTTGATGTATTCCGCGATTTCCTATTTCGGGTTCTCCTATCGGCTCTCTTTGTGTCACTAATAAAGTCGTTGTTTAGCTGGGCGGCTGTCTCTCTCTTTGAGTGCCCATTCACTATAAGCAGATAATTGTAATTTATCGGCCGACCTGACTCCGGTTCTCACCCATACGAGGTGCCCACAACAACTTCATCTCGGCTTTCGGACGGCTTCATCCATCACAAGTCGAGAAAGCTTGTCTTTTTCTCCCCGGCTTTAAAGTCGCCCGTTTACTGACTAACGCCGTCCGATTATGATTTAGCGTATAAAAATACGCGGCTACATTAAGCGGCGTGTTTTCTTTTTTCTCGTAAATAAAGTTGTAGTTGCCGCTTTTAACCGATCGCTGATCTCTTTATATATTATCTCTGAATCTGGCCGGGTGTCATGTTTGAGTCGGAGCCCTCGCCTCTTTCCCCCGACGATGATGATGCATGCTCGTTTTCACCCTTCAACTACTAATTAACTTAAACGGAGAGACTCCCACGCGTTTGTTTACGGTTTATTCTCAAATTAATTGCCGTGTTGAGAAGCCAGACATTGGATACTACAAACAATCAGACAGAAGCCTCTACAACTATTCACATTGCCTAATTGAGATTAATGTTTTTCACATTACTTGCACATTTGATAACGCAAATCTCGACGATAAACAGTTCTTCAAACACAGCCGAAATTAATACAAAATTAAAACAGAAATTAATGTTATTTTATAATTTTCATAACACAAGCCGGAAACAATTCTGACACGAATTGTATTATTCTCTTTTAAACATAAAAAAGACAATTAGGTATAATTCGCTATCTGCTTTTTCATTGTCCATTGAATGAAGACACAATTTTTTGGAAACTATGTCATTTTAAAATGTTTGAAATTGGGTTAAGTTAATGGAATTTGATTTCTTTCTGATTATAAAATATTTTATTATAAATTGTTCAGTTTTAAAAACAATATAGAACCATTTCTTGTCAAAACATTTTTATAAAAATCTGTTTTGTTAACAAAAACTGCAGGTGGTGTAGCATCAAAACTTTATATGCAAATGTTTTATATTCTTTTTTTTTTGTGTTCAAAAACTAGTTTAGGGTAAATGTGGGATCTATACAGGATGTCTCAGAACTCGCGCCCCAGAGAAAAAATTCAAATAAAATAAGATACCAGAAAAATGAAAAAATGTTTCAAAAATTGTATCTGTCAAAAAATTTTGACATTTATTTTTTGAAATTTGACATTCTTTATGTCTATTTAATGATAATGATAATTTTGTATATGTTTTTTTTACAATTATTTAGTAAAGGTACAACAATTGTGAATAACAAATAACATTAAACAGAGCTAGAATTTAGAATAGAGCTTCCTTGTTTCCTCTTCTAATAGCCTGTAGAAAAAAACTTGGCAAATTTATTGTTCAAAAACTAAATACATAACTGAGGTCCGGTTTCTGTAAACTTATTTAACAGATAGATAAATTTAAACCTCGATTAAACCATGGCAACACCAATCAGATCAACGCTACCTTAGCAACAATCGAACAGTTAAATTTTAACTGAAGTTTAATCGTACCAGAAATCGGACCTTAATCATATAAGACAATAACTGACAAAGAGTGTACAGGCTGTCCCAAGTTTTAAGGCCGGCGCAAAAATAAGAACCTATTTCTA